CGGTGTTGGATAAGCTCTAGAGGGGGTGGTTTTTGTGTTTTTTTTTGTTAGTTTGGTTTTTTTAGTTTGGTCGAAGGACGCCAGCCGCCCCTGGTGGGGGGGGGTGGGGGGGGGGGGGCGGGGGACAAGTCAAATAAATAAATAAATATTACTTTTTTTTTTAAGTAATATTCTTAATCTTGATAATGAATGGTATTCATAAATGGCCTTAATAGCATATGCATCTTTAACAATAGAATATAACTGTGAAAAATAATTTGAATACAGACAGTACTCATTTAGCAACTACAATTGGGACCAGTAACTTGGTTGTTAAGCAAAATGGTCACTAAGCGAAACCACGACTGTGCTTATGATCTTACTTCAGTTTGATTTTGCTTTACAGATCTGCAAACATCATAAATGTGAGGATTGGTTGTGAAGTTACTTTTTCATCACCATCGTAACTGCGAACGGTTGCTAAATGAGGCAGTCGCTAAGCAAGGACTACCTGTATAGTCTGTATAAGAGCAGGACTAGAAGAAAAAATATATGTTGAGATATTACCATTTTATAACCTCTTTAAATAGTCTTTTAAGGACTCTACTTGTACTCTTTTAATGGACTGCATTTTATTGCATTTCTGTGCAATTATTCACATGACAGCTATTTTAGCAGCTGCATTCAGTATTAAGTGAGCAGATTTCTGTTCATTGATAGGAGTTGCCTATGTCCTTCCTTGTACAGACTTACAAGACACACAAGGGGCATAATGAGTAAATCTGTCTTACTGACAGATTCCTGTCGGGCTCTTTGCCCACTGCCTAACACTAGTTCTTTCCAAACGCTATTCTCATGGAGCTCCCTTTAACAAGATTTATTGAGAAGAAAAGGAAAGTGTTGTAAGAATTTCAGCAACTGAAGTATTCTACACTAGACCCAATATATATCTGCATGCAAAGCATAAACTCCTTGATTTTCTTTCTAAGAACCTTCCTGTAATTTTTTTTTTTTTTTTGGTGGATCTTTTCACTGACAGTGGGGAATCTAGCAGTTGTTTACACAAGTCTCCCCAGTTTTGTCAGTCTGGGAACCAACTACAGGTAGTCCTCATTCAGCGACAATTCAAAGTTATGCTAGTGCTTTGATTTACAGCTGTTTCTTGTAGGTACAGCCTTCGCAATGTTCCACGGTCACACAATCGTGATTCAGGCACTTGGCAACCAGCTTGCAGTTACAATGGTCGCAGTGTCCTGCAGTCACATGGTCACCGCAACCTTCATTTGCCGGTTTCCAAGAAGCAAAGTCAATGAAGAAGCTGGCAGGAAGTTGCAAATGGCGATCATGTGACTGTGGGATGCTGTGACCACACAGGATTTGTCTAATGATGGCAATTGGAACTGCTGCAATTGCTGTCGTAAGTTGACGTGGTCATGTGATGTCACACTTTACAACCATATCGCTTAGCAACAGAATTGCCAGTCCCAATTACATTGTTAAGCTACCTGTATTATGATACTATTAGGTGAACATAACTGGAAATAATCAAAGATCTTAATTTTGTGTAGGTTTCTCAGCTGAACAGTATATAAAAATGCTTAACAGCAAAATAAATATATTCTTTTAAAATTTAGCTAACAAATACATTTAACTTTTGTCTGCACTACTTAAACTGTTTAAGTTATTAAAAGACTATTCATAAAATCACTAATTATGTGATGCCTCAATTGCATATCATTTGCTACTGTAGTCATCAAGAAAGGAACATGTATGGGCAAATCATTGATGCTAGCTGTGAATTTTCAGTAAATAACTTAAAATGCTATCTACAACTTTTTTTCTTATGTTTTCCATTTAGACTGAAACTGTACTTCAAGTTCTTTATCGTAAGAGATCCTTTTGAGAGGCTTATTTCTGCATTTAAGGATAAATTTGTCCACAATCCTAGATTTGAACCTTGGTATAGACATGAAATTGCTCCTGGAATTATTCGAAAATATAGAAAGAATCGCACTGAGACTAAAGGGCTGCAGTTTGAGGACTTTGTGCGCTACCTAGGTGATCCAAATCATCGATGGCTAGATATACAATTCGGAGATCACATAATTCATTGGGTAACCTATGTTGAACTATGTGCCCCCTGTGAAATAACATATAGTGTAATTGGACATCATGAAACTTTGGAGGAGGATGCACCATACATCTTGAAGGAAGCAGGAATAGACCATCTGGTATCTTATCCTACAATTCCTCCAGGCATAACAATATATAACAAAACTAAAGTGGAACACTATTTTTCAGGAGTAAGCAAGAGAGACATAAAGCGCCTTTATGCCCGCTTCGAAGGAGATTTCAATCTTTTTGGCTATCAAGAACCAGATTTTCTACTAAACTAGTATCTAGAAATTCTGGACAAATGAATCTAGCTGATTAAAACTATAAACATATACTATGTAACTGAGGCTCATATTATTGTACCTTTTCTAGATTTTTCCAATTGTTCCTTGTATTTGTTGAATATTTGCAATAGGAGCCACAAAGGACTGCCACTTAGTCATTAAAAAAAAGTATTACTACATGACATTACAATATATTACAGGCAAAAATTACTAAGATAGTACATGTCAGACATTCCTCTTCCCAATAGAGAATGAATTGACCAGTAATCTGTAAAGAAACTTATGAATACAAAACAAAACATTTAGAAAGGGTGGGAAATATTGCTTAAGTAAATTGCCTAAGGGCATGATATGAAACTTATAAATCTATGGAGGCCAAAAAAATTGGTAAGTATTGTATAATTTAAGGGAAAGACTCCAGATCCTACTGTGGAATCAATCTGAAAGTCTTTATTCTTTTGCTATAGTCTTGTGATGGTTGCTTACTGCTGTTCATTCAGAAGATAACAGCTGTGTGAATTTTAACTTATAAACTCTGAGTTATTATGAGTTCAGAAATCTTTTGCAAGAGAAGCTATAGATCCCATTGAAGAAATTTTAGAGAACACTAAAAATGATTCTTCATTTGCTGAGTAACTTTAAAGAAATACCAGTATCGATACATATGCATAAGTCTATGCATTTTGCCATGGTCTGCCCACCCCCACCCCCCAGTGGTGCTATCATAAAGCTATGAAGAGTTGTCATAATAAATGAGATCAGTGTTCCATTCAAACCTAGTATCTTATTCTTGGGATTTTTAAATTTTAGAAATGCCCATACATACAACTGGGGCAGCAAGCCGCCATAGATATGTTTATTTCATGTGTGTATGTAAGTCATTTTTTCATCTCTCAAATCTTTACCTTATAAAACAGGTTACAAAATTGAGAAGCAGGTGCCTATTGATATAAACATAATGTGCCATGTGGCATTATTTCATCATGAGCCATAATTCCATCCTTATGCCCAATAATTTATATGGCGTTTTCACAATCGGCCATTAGATTTGGTAGAGTCCTATTTCAAGTTCAGAAAATTACATTATTGATCCTTCCCCCCCAAAGATTCCTCTCGATTTTTTCAAATGAGTTTGTCTTCATACTTTCACAGCAGAACCTGCCATATAAAACCATCAGTGAATAAACAGCCAATTGAATCCAAAACATTAATGTGTGCGTACACAATTATCAAAATGTTAATATAAAATGTAAATGCCCAGGACTGTAATAGCAAAATGTGTGTGTGTTGTTTCTGTTGGATAAAGAAAACTTTAAGTTCACCAGCAATAAAATCTTCCAGTTGATGCCTTTGTTCCCTTGGGTTTCAGGAGGAACAAACAGTTAAATTTTAGTACATCAAAATGTAAATTTGGGGTAACCCTTTACTTGCTGTAGGAAGGTCTTAATGACTTGGCTAGAATGGTTGAAATGAAGAGAAAATCTATTAAACTGACTAGTATAATTCTCAAGGAGTTTTGTATTTGTAAACTTGAAAAAAAAAATCAGTGCCAAAACTGCTCCTTCCTGTGAAATAACGACTATATTAGTAAGAGCTAATCTCAGAAGAATTCCTAAAGACTGAGCCATTCTACACAATATATAAACGGAGGTAGTGGAATTCAAAATGTAGGGCTACAGGCAATGTTGGGTGAGCAGAGTTGGGCTTGTACAACAGCTTGGTCCAACAGCTTGGTCCTTTCTACTCCCCTGCAGGTAAATAAGGTGTGCAGTAAACACTCTCCAAACTCTGCACAGCAGATTTGGTGAGGTGGATACCTGGGGCTGTAGAAGGACATATAAGTTTCCTGTAGACAGTATTGTTATATTAAACTGTAACAAATTGTTCTGTTTTATAATCTTCCCATCTCTCTTTGACTGTAGCACATCAGGATAAAGCTTTAATCTTTTTGTGTCTTTTTTTTTTTTTTTTGGGTGCCTTCGAGTCTGTCTGGACTCCTGGTGACTAGAAGTCGTAGCAGGTTTCTTGGCAACATTTTTCAGAAGTGATTTGCCCTTGCCTTCTTCTAGGGCCGAGAGCTGGCTTCATGCCCGAGGCAGAACTAGAACTCAGTCTCCTGGTTTCTAGCCTGGTGCCTTTAATCACCACAATAAACTGGCTCTTCTTTTGTGATTAGAGGGATCGTTTAAAATAACCCCTGCATAGATTACTACCATTTTTATTTTGTAATGTGTAGGATGGCTTACATTTATGTATCGTGAATTATGGGGTATTTTTCATGTGGACCTTTTCCTGACAGATACCTGTTCTGTGTAGGAAAATTACATATTAAATTGTGTGCATGAGTGGAAAGCACATTGCCACATGCATATGTGCTTATAGCTTTCCTTTACAAAAGTAGTATCTCTATAAAAATTATTCTATATGAAGCTGTCCTTACTATTATTAGCAAGAAAAAATGTGACAAAACTTAAAATCCTCTTGTCCGTCTTGTTGAGAAAGAAAGAATATTTGTAAGAACATTGACATGGTAAGATTAAAGTTATTTTTATATGAAGTGGTAGGAGAAAATGTGTTTATTTCAGGACTAATGAGCTGATCCAAGTTACTTCTCTGCTGAATTAAAATGTAACAATGTGAGAAACGTGTAGTAAATTAAGGCCTTAAAAACGTTCTAATAAAAAAGTGAATTTTCCCTTCCTTTTCTCTAATTACCCAGAATATATTGAGCTGTGTCTCTCTGTTCTCAAAATAAATATGAAATAAAATCCAGGTGATCGTATTTATGCTGCAAATAATCTATATTTTGTGGTTCCTGTTCAACAATTTCTTCGCCTCATAAAAGATGCGGGGAGCAACTTTCAAATAGTGTATTTTTCTGTCTCTCAAGGATGGGAGAGAAGCAAATGTCGGTGTATGGATGAACTTGGTGACATTACTTCACACTAGGTAAATGAAACCAATTAATCTGAGCTTTGCTTTCCCCACTTTGTCCTAAAAATCAGTATAAGTCTCTTAAATATATAAATAGATAATGTACATGAAGCACGGCCCTTACTCAGTGACACCTAACTAATTTTATATATTCCTAAATGTTCATGGACTTGTGACCCAGAAGTCAAATTCTGATAGCCTTAACCACTTGACCAGTTTAAGATTTATGTTGCATTTCTTTATGATTGTTTATTACATTTGTACCCTGCTGCAATGAATTCACCTCTCGATGGCTTAAACATAAACTGAATTTAAAACATCCATGGTAAGCTTAAAAACAAAACAAACTTCATGAAGTAAAAATTTAAAAAAGATGGTTCCAAACAGGTTAAAATGCTCTTTGGAACAGCTCTATTTTCATCATCTTCAAGAAGGCATTCAGGGATAGCACCTACCTGATATCTACAGGGAGACTGTTCCACAAGATTGGTGCTACCACTGAAAAGCAACACCTCCTTGTTTCAACTCCCTTTAGTTCCCAATGGAGGGGCACTAGGTGTGGTTTTCCCGTAGATGATGATTTAATAGGTTGGACCAATTAGGATTGGAACATGTGTCATGCCCTAAAGGACTTTATAGTCAAAACCAGCCTGTTAAATTCCACCCAGGAGTTCACTGGTAGCAGTGCAGTACAATTCCTTGGCAATTTATATATTAATATTACCCCCAAGATGGGCAATACATGGCACTTCTAATGTTGCTCACAAGTCCCCCACCATATGCCACGTTTTTGAGGTTGCTGGAGCTTAAATTCAGTAAGAAAGACAAATGTGAAGGATAAAAGACAATTATCAGTCTCACGTACTGGGTAATTTCCTTTGTCATGACTAAAGCTTTTACATCAATGTCCATAATGGAACTATTCCAAGTATTGATGAAACCAGAATATATCTACTTTCGAAGTGCTTCTTCCTTAATGTTTTCATCCTGTCTGCTGCCACATTAGGTAGATTTAATTAACACGTGCTGGTCTAATTACCTATCTCACCCAACTGTCATCTGTTGTAATTGCTGAAGGCACCCTCTGCCTATTGTCAGAAGCCAGAGCCAGAAATGTAACCATGAACCCTTGTGGGGAAGAGGCTGTCTTTCCAAAGCAGGCACTTAAAAGGGCTGACTCGCTTAAGGCCACAATCCTCCCAAGGGCTTTCTCTCCTTTTTTTTTAACCAATGATGCTGCCTGTAGTTTAGTACTAGTAATGCTCAATTAATTTCTTGTTAGTGAGCAAAGCAAAAGAACAAAAAAATTGCTCAAAAGGAAAAAAAACTAGGCAAGAGAAACTCTTATGAGGAGCTACAACGCTTCAGTGGACTGTAGGATGGGATCAGATTCATACTTAGAGCAGATCAGTTGGGATCAGTAAGACTTGATAGGAGATTTACTTAACATAATGATCTAAATCTGTGTTCAACACTTTCAAGCATTTTGTGATTTTAGCAATGCCTAAACTGCACACAATAATGCAACTATGTGAAGCGTGCTTCATGTGCAAGCTGTTTCTATGGATAGTTCCCATAATGTTCTGTTAAGTCTGTTTCTCCTTTTCCAAGCCTAACTATCAAAAACTTGGTTGGCTGTTCCAAGAAAGAAAATCACATACCATAAAAGCTTTTGTAAATTGGAGGAATTGCTTTCTAAACTTTGATGAATAACTAAGATTACAATCTCATACCAATTTATCTGAAAAGTCCTATTGAAACTAACTGAATGGATTCTATATATGTTTGTGCTATAAAGCCTGCAGGTCAGCTCATTAAAAACAAGAACAACAATGTATAGCATTGTGAGTTGCTATATTTTATGGATTTGCTTATGAAGGTATTTTCACAGTCATTTTAAGGATGCCGCAGTTTTAAAAATACATTTTGCAGTTGTCGGATTTTGCATTTTGTCCCCCTCGATTGGCAATTAGGTTATGTTAGAGATTCTAGTTTGCATGCGCTAACATGCTGAGGTTAAATGGGGCTTCAGTTGTGCTTATGGTATACTGCCCCCAATGTCCAATATTGACCAGTTCTTTCCTTACTTTTGCCAGGCAACACTACATGTGTAACAGACACAACTAAAGCTGATAATCTAATTTATATCTTCTCTATAATGATAAAAATATGTGAAAGCCTCAACTCAGTAAAGCCATGTTGGGCAACAGAGGTCAATATTTATGGGACCATGGCATATGGAAAGACAAAGTATGTAATATATCTGAATGAAGGTGGTCTGATCTTGTGGAGTTGATGAGTACATGCAGGGAATTGAAATTGCAAAATTAATTATAAGTCAAAAGGCTAAAATGTACGTCAGAAAGAATAACGTGTCATTTCAGTTGCTGTGGTTGTGTACAAAAGTAGGAATACATCTGCTGCATGTTATGCTCCAGTAAATGGTGATAATGGAAGAACCAGGAATGAATTTAGGGGAAACACTGTACAGTATTCTGAACAAATGTGATCCAAAGGCAAAAATTATTCTGTTAGGTGACAGGAATGGTTGGGTGAGAATTAATGGAAGAATTTAAAAAAGGTCTTGGCCATTTCGGGACTCAAGAATGAATAAGAATAGTGATTATTTGAAGAAAATTTCCTTAAAGGTCTGTTTTCAGATATATGCTTTAAATATGTCTATTTATATAAAGAAATGAGTATAAATCTAAAAGCATTATTGATCTATTATGAGGAAACAGGAAATCAGTGATCGATGCAAGGATGATTAAGTTCTGAATGTGAGAAAGACTTTTTGGTAGTGTCAAAAGTAGAACTTGGGGAAAAAGAAAAGAAGTGGAAAAAAAGAGTGAAAGTAGAAAGACTGCAAGAAGAGAAAATATGTCTTGTGTGAAAAAGTACAAGATATGTTACACTCCCAAGAGAATGAATGGAGAATGTTAACGAAGATGATGTGGAAACTGCTGGGAGTACAGTGAAAAGAATGCTACAGAGTGCAACAGAAGTTTCTAGAATTATGCTAATGGAAAGTATGAAAAAGAATGTTTGGTGGAATGTTGAAGTGAAAACAGCTGTGAGTGAGAATGCATATAAGAGAAGGATTGCTGCAGAAAAGTAGGACCAGAAAAAGCTATTGATAGAAAGTCTACTAAACATGAGAAAACAGGTGGAGAAATTTGAAGATATGCAAATGCTGGTGAAAAGGTAGTAGAAAGTAGTACACTGTCCCTCAAAAAGAACAAGTACCTCCAATTTTATTCAAGTACTATCTTCCAAGCTTTGAGGTTAGGGCTTTTGCTAAATAGCGACAACATTTGAAGATGCCTATTTCCTAGAGAAGGCACAAACAGAACATAACAGAATTAGACAAAATTATTCCACTAGTCTTATCTTTCTTTAAAAGAAAATATGGAATAAATGTTTATCCTGAATATGCAACATTTAGCAGAAACCTACCCCAGCTTCCAGTTGGCTCTTTTCCAACCTTTTTCTCCCCTAAAACATCTTGTACTAATTACACTAGTTCATACTGTTGCATGTATGAAGTCAATTCTTTTTTCAATCTCTTGACAGAAATGCAACTCAGTAGAATGCTACCTGTCAATATGAGACCCAGACCTGATATGTTTTTTGTTTTTGGCAACTTTTTCTCCCAAGAATGTTCTGAACTGCCAATTTCAAGTTTATGGCATGCGGATTATAACAGTACCCAAAGCAGAAGTAAGAGCCCAAAGCAGAAATAAGAATTTGCAATAGCACCGAGTGCCCAATTTAGGCATTCAGCCATATGCAAAATTCAAAAAATGAAAAGACCAGGATAACCAATATCAGCTGAAATGGTATATTACCATAAGGGCTACTTTGAGATCCTTCTCTATAATACATGATATTCCTTAAAAGTTCCACTGAAGCTAAAGGGATTCTTCTGAACAGCTGATCAACTGAAATGAAATTCAGGAAAGGGGTTCCATAGCTTGCTGGACCAAGGAAGCCATATATTTTAAACCTCTTTAATCTTTCTTTGTGACAAGTTGAAGGTGGCAGCAAATTAATCCCTACTGTGGTAAGTTTGGGACTAGTATATTTTTTACAAAGCTACAAAAATACAGTATAGTATTCTTCATGCCGAGTATACTTCTGTTCAAGTTATTAGTTAACTGTAATAAAGCATTTTGAAAAACCTATTCTGTATATTGAAAGTCACTCTACTTAGGTTATATGGATGTTAACCAATAACTCTTAATAAAATAATGGGCAATACAAGAAACAATATTCTTGATATTTCTGAAGAATTACAAAATGAGGACTATATTTTTGCTTTACCAGCCAAAAATTTTTTAGTTAGCCTTTTCTATTTATTTCTCATAGAATGGGATATAAGGCAGTTAGCAGCTGAAAAAGCATTCCTTTGAATCAGCAGGGATAGGAAATATCAATCTGTTTTTTGCCTGTAGCACAATGCCAGCTAGAATGTATCATTGGACAATTGCCCAATGCTATATATGTTGACGAATCACCAAAATTAACTGCCGCATCTGATGGATTCCTTCGACAAGTGAAATTGCTGTTTATTTTCCACCCTATGAGTCAAATCCAAATTAGCCTTCCAGGCGGAAGAGCAGCGTGTGAGCAAGAGATCACGTTTGGGCTTTAAGGAAGTGAAAAGAAATTCTAAATGACAGCATCTATTAAGAAAAAGAATGTTTCTTCAGTTCATATGAGTCATGCTTCAAGAGGGTAAACACAAATAAGGCAATAGAAGCTATGCTAGTTCTCAAAGAAGGTTAAAAGGATCTAAACAAAATCAGGTGACTACCCCAAGATGAGCTGAATATTTAAAAGTGAATCCTTTTACAGATAAGCAACCTTGTTTAATTAGATTATGGGAGATGTTGGTGAGGCTGGAGCACAAGTAACATCACACCAATTCCAGAGTTCTGGGTCTATTGCCTTTGATGTCACTCCTTATGTCATTTAAGTCACTTTTTCTGTGCCATCATAACTTCAAAGGGTCGTTAAATGAATGGTCGTAAGTCGAGGACTACCTCTATGCCAGTTCTGCTTCCATGGAGGCATCAAAGGTGGGATCAGCAAGTTAAGGTATACCCTAGGGGCCAACTATTTCACAGGCCCTTGCAAAGTTGAATGGAAACAATAACAAAAGTAAATTCTGCCAGGGAACCACCATGCTGAACGAGCATTTAATAAGATCTGTTCGACCTCACTAGTTGCCAGAGGGTACTGAGGGCTCTGGCAGAACTCCTTCCCTGTCCTGCCCCTGGAAACCCTTTTAACTGGACTGACAGTGAATAATTGTTAAACTAGTGAATACAATCACTAAACCATTATTCTCTGCTTACCTTAGGAGAATCTTCCATTTGATGACAGACTGTTATCTGTCATGAGCAAGAAAAACAGACCAGGTAGCAAAATGATATTGTGAAAAACTACTAAGGTATTGGCCCCCTGAGAAATGGAAGATTTCTTCATGCTGATTTTTGTATTATATCTTGAAAGAAAGAGGGGAGCTTGTAATCTGGAGCAATGGGAAAGTACATCTTTCCTATGGAATCAAAATTAAAATAAATTTTGTAGCTGTCTTCCATTGCACATCACAGTAATAGTGTTGTTGTCATGTTCTTCCTACTCTGCAAAGGTGCCTAACTTTTATTACCTCTTTCTACTGGTAAGGTCTGCAGGCCAGGCAGCTAAACATAGACTTTAGCTACCATGTCTACCTTAGATAATACAGTGTGGAGTCTTGTACTGGCTATTTCACAACTTGTTTCCCATCTGCAAAATGGAAATATTGATTTCATAATGGCAATAGTATGTCACATTCTTGTTTTTTAATTCTGCCTTCTGCCCTATCTCCCCAACCTGCTTGCCTGTCCTGTTGTACCTGTCCAGTCTTGCCCTATGGGAAGTCACTCCATTTTTAATACAGTGGAATACCACAAGTAGACTAGCCTCAAGGTATGCAACATTAACGTGCTGTAATTATTATTTGTTAGCTTCAGAATTATTGCAGCATAGCCTGCCCCAGACAACCTTAAGTATATTGTAATTTACAGTGACTCTCTTCTTTGTTCTCAGAGAAGGATGGAGCACACTGATAACACTGGTTTTTTGGCCACAGCAATAATCAGAGGGTGATGAGGATGGAGTCCATTATAAGTGGACAGTTCTCACATTAGTTGAAGCAATTTCTAATATGCACCTATGAACAACAAAAATAAAGCTAATTCTCTGCTTGTATTGAAATATTTTTTGTTTTCACAAAGACAGCTACCCTGGATTCTAAGGAAGTCCTCCTCTCTTTACAAATCTACTCCTCACATCATTTTGTGAAGGAAGGGAACCACTAACCCCAAGAGAAACAAAATACAGTAGAGTCTCACTTATCCGACATAAACGGGCCAGCAGAACGTCGGATAAGCGAAAATGTCAGATAATACACAGTAACGATTGAGTGCGGTAAAAAAAAAAAAAAGATCCGCTGCGCCTGTCACAATCAATTTTTGCGTTGCGGCACTGCACCGTCAGGAGAAACAAGAAAGAGTACACTCACGCAAACAAGCGGCACACTTTTCCCGTCGCCGATTTATGCGTGTTGTTGTGTTTTTTTTAGGGGCGTCGGATAAGACGGAATGTCGGATAAGCGAAAGTTGGTTAAATGAGACTCTACTGTACTTGCTTTCTCAATGGCACCTCTAGTCTTATTAAGGATTGCATCTCCAATAAAAATCATTGGTATCAGATCTACATATGCTCTCAGAAGGCAAACAAAGGTTTGACTATGATTTACAAGCATTTATTTGATAGCTCCCCACAATTAGATACATTTCTTAGCAATCTCTGCCCAGGTTCTGTATAAGACTAGTAGTCATTCTAGTCATGACAAACTAAAAGCGGTCCCTGCTGCCGTCTCTCTGTCATCACCTGGTAATCAGAAATGGTCAGCTCCTGGTTGCAGGCCACCTCTGGGTGCTCCAAAAACTACATCACATCGGTATAGTGGCATGATTTCTCAGTAACTATACACAGAAAACAGAAGGAAAGACGTTAAGTCCTGAACACATTTATCAATGCTAAAAACTCCAAATTCAACCAATAGTGGGCTGAACATTCTCTTCCTCTCCTTTCTGGCCATGTCCTTGCATCCTTGCCATGACTCTTGTGGTTTTTAACCATCCACCCTCCATTTCAAAAACCAGTAACTCCTGGTTGATTAAAAAAACTCTCTACTCTTGAGATAACTGAAACTTACACTGCTGTGACATTTGCCTTCAATTGATGCTGAATACTAAGAGTCACTAAGGTTTGTATTCTGAATCACAAAATGATAAATCAAAAGAAAATCACGATTGCAACCCTCAATTTTAATCACAGAAAAGGAAAAGGTACTTCATTACATTAAAAAATATATATTTTGGATTCACAGCGATTTGCTATGTGTAGGAGTGTCCTGGGACTGCTGACTAGTATTTACAAAGTTCTTTACCATCACAGAAGCAGACAAACAAGTCACCTGTTTACCAGAGCAGAAGCAGACAAACAGTTTAGTCACAAGTGCAGCCTCCTCCAAACGGGCACCCACAGCCATCCTGCTTCAGGAGGACAGGTGTTGACTAATCCGTTTGGAGAGGCAGATCAGCAATACGTTTGTTGCCATGTTTTGTACTGGCCAAACATGATGGCTGATTGAAATTGAGTTCCCAGCAAAGAAGCAAAAACATCTGTCCAACTCCAGCATAACTCTCTTCCTAGCAACCTGAATTCCAAATTCCATGCTTTCACTATTAAATGGTTCTTTTTTGGCTTAGAGATACATATTGGATTTCGTGAATGTGTCATAAGGGGGATGCGTGGTCTGTCACAAAAATATGGATGTAGTGGAAATCTCGTCATAAAATCCCCACGTAGCAAAAGTTAGTGACGATATATCTTGCTGTTCTTTTTAGCCTCCCACACAGGAATACTCACTATCAGAGTATCTTACTTTGTTACTGTTTTCTTCAGCCTTCCACTTTCATTTTTTTTTAAAAATGCCAGTGGGAGTGGTACAGGGCTCAGAAGCATTCTTGGAAATAAAGATGGTTGGTAATTTAATTTGCTGCATGCACAGAATCTTAAAAAGAAGAAGGTTGTTGGGGAAAGTAATGTCCAGAGCAGCACGTTTTGCACAGTCAGGAGCCCTTGGTTGCCTTTTCAATAAAAAGAATGGGCAACCACTCCAACAGTAGATGCTGGAGGGTAGGAACAGCAAGAAAACCTTGAAAGAAAGACCTCCGTATATCGTGCTCAGGGCAAGTCTGTTGCCTTGGGTGCAGTGGAAACCATTCCCACAACAAAATAAGATAAGGCACCATCACGTTGTCCTTCATCCCAGCAGTCTGGGGCCCATCTTGATAATTCCACTTTACCTCTGCCTCCTCACAGGCCTTTATTATCAGCAGTTCTCAAACTGTGGTCCGTAAAAGTCCACCATACAGCCCTCTGCAGCCTCCTCACATTCACTGTCAAACAGCTGGTTAGGCAAGGGCCCACTTACTACCTCAGGCCCCCATCTCCCCACATTCACCACCAGCCAGCTATTTTGCAAAAATGGATCCGTGGCTTAAATGTGGTTCACTGAAGTAGGAGTGGTTACACAAGAAGCAACATAAATATTAAAATATCAAAAAGCAGGTCTTGAGTGCAGGTACCAGCTATGACTGTGATGCTGTGTTAAACTGTATTCTCAGACAAACCTCCCCTCCCCAAAACAAAACCATGAATAGAAGATACAAGAAAGAATATCTAAAATGGAATTTCACTGGGCTGGAATGGTCAAGAGCACACACTACAGTTCAGAAAGCCCCTGGTGCAAAGCTTACCTCAGCCGAGAATGTATTAATTAGCTTTTGATAAGCCAAATACTCTACCGCATTCTAGTATCCACCATAACACAAAAATAATATCATTCTAGATTTTCAAGCTGCAATATAGTTACTGCAACAAAATATGTGAACAGCTTTCACTACTACATTTTGTATTCTTTTTGTTCCTACTTAGTTTACCAGATTAAATTTATGCTTCTTCCACCTTTTATTCTAAAAACTACAGTATTTACTATTTGGATTCACCACTAGATGTCCCCAACCAACAACTCTTATTTAAATAAAATTGTCAATACCTTCTGGTCAGTTTGGCAGTCATGTAAATTAATTATTACATAGGAGGAAAGACATATAGGATGATTTGGTAGTAAATCTTACTAGTGATTATATATGAACAATCCTGGTCACAGAGATGCTATGCCAGGTATCTTCATAGTCCAAGATTGTGAATAAATATAGATGGTTGTATCTACAAGCCAAACAGGTGATTAATAGCAATATTATAATGAATGTCTGGAAATGACTGCATATTTAAAGCTATTATTTTAACTGTTAAAGTAAAACACAGGAATATATTTTCTGTCTAGCTTATAAAAGCGTGGAGAATTTATCACACGTCATGTGGATTGTACTGCTAAACATTTCTAAAGTTCAATTTTATTATTTTCACTATGAAATTCTTTATGTCAATTGGTGAAAATGTTTAAGTGGATAAATGATAAATATTGAGCATGCTTTACTTGAAAGACATCATTTACAAAAAGAAAATCTGATAACTTTTCAGTGCAAATCCACGTTCTAGATAAGAAAGTGCTCTGCATTTAAAATAAAGATAGCTGAAATTGTGATTGCATCTAAACAAGGCTTTTGGCCAATATTACAGAAGCAGTTTGCCATTGTCTTTTACCAGGATTTTGTTTTGTTTTGCTTTTCAGTTTCCCAGCCTAACCATCCAGCCTGCTATTCTCTGGTGGTCCTTAAAAAGTGTGCAAATGAAGGGCCAAAACAATGTCTTCCAGTTTCCCAGGAATCCTAACCCAGTTAAAATTGTTTTCTTTAATGGGATCCCAATTTCTGACAATTATAACAGATTCATGCAAACTATAAGCAGAGGCTTACAATGCTCAAACTGTCAGCACTCCGGAAGGATTGGAATTGATTAGCTATAGGTATAATCATAAGAACATTTTTCTGAAGCTGGTGAGGTTTTCTGTCTAGCACAGAGGTAAGCACTTTAGGTCCTCTGGCTACCACTTCCATTATCCCAGACTAGTAGCCACACTTGTTGAGTGCATCAAGGTTGACTACCCCAGCCTAGTCAATTCAAGTTGCAAGAAAATGCATGAAAAAAAATGGGAGGGTTACAGTGATAACAGCCTTGTGTCTTGATCAATGCAAACATCGTCTCTAATTTTGCAAGGTACTATTCAACACTCATATTTATAACAAATATAAAATCAAACATCATTATTTTGACACTGAGAGGGAAGGATAAGTTCTTGCATAAGAAAAGTATGGTAGAATACCCATGCGGGCATACTAACCTTCCACTGTGGAAATAATGCAAGCCTTTCTTACAAAAAGAGAAAAAAGATGAGGTGTATGTTAACACATTTTACTGACCAATAGGAGTGCATAGCTCAGGGTTGAACTGCGGAGTCCCTGGGGCTCTCTGAGCTTGGTTCTTTTCTTGCAAACTTTTCATTACCCGGCTAGGTAACATCTTTAGTGCTAGAATGGGATGAGATTTGCTCTCTATTTATCTGCTGTGGCAATAGAAAGGGAAACAAAGACCAGAACATCTCCTCACCAGCAATCATCACGCAGATAAGCGGAGATTAACACCAAGATTACCACCAGACATACAAGCAGTAAACAATACCCTGATCAAAGAACTACCAGAGGGGGAAAAATAAAACAAAACGCCCACCCCCCCCCAACACTGGCCGGGCATGCCACAGAATATAATCAGAGAGCAACCCCCACCCCACTCTAGCACTGAAGACATTACCTAGCCGGGTAACGAAACCTTTGCAAGAAAACAACCAAGCTCAGAGAGCCCCAAGGACCCCACATTTTACTGAGCTTTTTTATCCTCAGCTTAGTGCAATATTTGAACGCAGACAGCGTATTTTGCGTACTATGGTTTATGGTTCAGTAAACCAGGTCAGGGGGTGTACTTAACACATTGTATCAGTTCTAAGAAATTGTCATTTTTGTTCACTCCCCGCTATTGGGGGGGGGGGGAAGCAATCTAGCGTGTTCAATTATTCGTTGAGGGTCCCATCTTTCATTAAGTTAATTTAAAAAAAAAAAGCATGGGCCCCGCTCTGATTCGACGACACGGACTGCACGGCAAGCGCTCCGCTGAGCCTGACGACGCTGTTGCGAAAGTTCCCTCCCCTCCCCTCCCCTCCCCTCGGACGCCGCGAGGGAAGGAGAACAAGTTC